TGGCCTATTGGACATCTTAAGGACTTTAGAATTCTACAAGGGAACTTCCTTCTTCAAATGCTACCCATTGCAGACAATATTCTAAGTGTTTGTGCTGCTCTGTGTAATTTGCTACCACCACTGGCCAAATGACTGACGCATTTGTCCAGAGAGCAGAAAAGCAGACCAAGTTATTATGACGTGGAAGTGATTGCAACTTAGTGTATGTAAATGGTAAATGAAACGTGTATTAAACGTATCCAGAGACAGATCAATAAAATTATGTGGTATCTAATCCAGCAAAGACAAAAAACACTATTTAAGCACCTTCACTTTTACAATCAGCATCTAACGACAGTCACTCTATAATGACTTAAGTATGTCATGGTGGAATAGTTCCTGAACTGTATACTCCACGAAGAAGTTTCTCAGCTTTTGGAGCATTTCATTCCACAAATCACAATCAAACTTAACGTTTACAATCAATATTCCTTTGAGGGTATATATAACTAGATCACAGCGATGAATCCCTGTTATCCCCATCAGTCCCTCTATTTGGTAGTTCCATTTGGTTTCTTTTTTAATTTCATACTTGCCATCCACAAGCATGAGGTTCTCCTCAGCTGCAACATGTGGAGGGAGATTTCTTTTTGCATACATGCTTTTAACTTCAATTAACTTCTTTTGGCAGCAAGCACAAATCCTTCTACCATCAGGACTGGCTCCTAAGAAGGGCCATAATGTGTTTACAATGAGTCCACTTTTTTCTACTGACAACTTCTCATGATTTTTGTTCTGTTTTTTTATGTAAAGACTAAGTGTTCACTTTTCTTTCTCATGCCCCCATATCAACTGTCATGACATGGCATCTTCAGCAATTATTGGACAGTAATTCATCAGATGTTTAATAATGACTTTCTTCTGTCTGTGCTCTCTCTAAGATGGCACACAGTGTAAAAGAGGAAGCTGTAATTCTTCCTACCCTTTGATCAAACTAAAATTGAGACTGGGATTGATAGATAGTTTTCTTGTTGATCATTTCTGCTTGCTCTTCATTAAATGGAATAGACTCGAGGAATTCAATTGCAAGTTCTTTAGAAACTGTAGGCATCACTTTTTCAGTATTAACAGAAACAAACACTTTGGCGTAATCATTCATTGAATATACATGTACACTTTGAACACTTTCTTCTTTACAGACATTAACATCACTGCTGATGAAAGCTCTGACTTCGTCCTCTGTTTGCCTGGGTCCTTTAGTTGAAGATAAAAAAGGCAGAGTTGAAGAGCTAGGACATATTTCCAGCAACCCAGCTTTAAAATCTTGTTCCAGTTCAGTCACATTATAGGGAATACAAATTGGATTAAAATCTCTTAGGTGAATTGGGTCTTTCAATGTCACACCTTAACTACCACTCGTTTGAAGGTCCTGAATGGGCAAACTTCCCTCATTTCTCTTTCCTCTCTTTTTCCTCATGCACTGTCCTGATGTACATGACTGGAGATCATTGAATCTCACATTTGCTTCTAGATCAAACAATGCTGCAGCTATGTGCCGGCAACCTCCATCTGCCCTGTTTAAAGGAGGACCAATATGACAAATATGTATCTCCTATTGTTCACACTGCTAGACTGTAAAGTAGCCAATAAGTTCAGTTACTAGGCTCACAGACTTTGAACTACTGTTTTAATATTTAGTGCTGAAGTCATAAATGATCCAGAAGGTTTGAGACTTAAAATAATGCATCCATTGATTTAGATCTTCAATTCAAGAGGCATCTACTTTTTACTCATGTTACAACCGCTACAAGGAAAATATAAACCTTCGAATCTGAATAAAACAAAACCTGTCACAGAGAAAAACAACGGAAAAGACCAAACGTTTTGATTCTCAAACGTATGTTTATGGAATATCAAGCACATAGACAGGCTTCAGAAATCAAAAGAAGAAAATACATACCCTATATACAGCAATTTTTGAGACTTTCATCTCCTCACTTTTCTCACAAAGTTCTACCAGTTCAACCTTACGTTTTCCTGAGCTTTGAATGCCCCTTTGTATTCTTTTAACCAAGGAACCGGTTTACAGTGAAAATTGCCTGCAGCACAGTCAGCCATCTTGTGTCCTCTAAGCCTCGCTTACATGCGGCTACCTAGTTCTCAGGAGTGCGCGGTCAAAAATATCGAAAAGACCCTATTTTCAAGCGCCCTCTAGAAAAGTGCACATTTGGCACGAGTTCCTCATGCGATAGCATATTTCCCACGAGTTTCAACTAGGCCTTTAAGTTGAAGTTTCCTTTAGCGAAAACTTCACCTTTGTGTTGGTTGGTTTATAGGTGCATAGACAACAAAATTTCTCTTTTTTTGCAAAAACATGAAAAGTATTAAAAGTCCATTTCCGTAGCATAAATTTTCACTATTAAGTTAAAAAATTGAAAGAGATGGTTAATATGAGCCGTTTGTGCAAGTTTACCTTTTTGTAATCAATAACAAAGGAAATAGCAGCAATCAAATACTGCTAAATTGTTGGGTGGCAAAACGTTAATCTTTGTCAATTTTGGGCTTTTCTCGGGACCTATTCGGTACACCGAGCTCAAATTTTGAGAGATAACTGAAACTGGTATGCTCTTTCAATAATAGAAAATTTTATTTTATTAGCTTCATCAGATAACGATAACCATATGTCAATAAGAAAAAAAAATGTGAAAAAGGATTCACCTACAACCTGGGAAATGACTATTTGCCAAGTTAAAACGGGACTGGGTGTAAATCAGTTTTCAAAAGCCAAAGTAAGGCACAGGAAAAATTTGTTATACACAGCGAACTACAACATGCTAAAAATTATAAACTCGCTAACTTTACACAAAATAAGCACAACTTCCATCAAACTTAGCTCGAAATGCTGGCTAAATACCTGTCGGTAACTCTCTTCTTAAAATTTAAAAGAACTAGATGGGTCATGAACGGGAAAGTTTGTCATTCTGTTGAAGAGCCTTTCTGGGTAACTATCTGGTTCTCACAACAAACAGACGATTACTTTGTTCAATTGACTCCTTTTTATTCTTTAGTCCAATGTCACGAAGTTAACTCAACTCCTATTTTACAATTCTCTGCTAAATCAGTGTTACACCCATTTTTATATCAGCCAGGTAACCAGGTGCTTAGTGCAAACCGAATGCTGACGTAAGTCTGATCCGATTGGTTAAAACAGTCTCATTAGCTTAAAACCTTCGAGATAATTGCTTTGTCGAAATGACTCTTCAACCGAAGTTTTCACTATTAAGCTTAAGGGCCTGTTTACATGGAGGTGGGGGACCCCAGGTAGGTGAGGTAACCCGCCTAGGTGGGGTAACCCGCCTGTCCATATAATCTCTCATTTTAATTTGATCACGTTTACATGATAGGTGGGGTGACCCGCCAAGGCGGGTAGCCCGGTCTACCAGACCGGGTTACCCTCTCAGCCGGGGTCACATTTTGTCATGTAAACGTTTCAAGGTGGGGTAACCCGCCTGGCCGGGGTCGGATTCGTGATACATCAAATTCGCGCAAAATTCACCATGGCGGTGGCTTTGCATTATTATTAAAGTTAACAATAGAAAGCTATCGCACTGACAGTTTGCAGCAAGAGCAACAAGTGATTGAAGAAGTGCATTAATCGCCAAAACTCGTGCTTCGCCAGCATTTTTCTTGTTTACGTGCTTAACGACCATTCAATAATCTTGAGAAAGTGCACCCCGGGATGGCGGGGTTGTAAGATTGCATGTAAAGGCGGGTTATTTTTTTACCTCACCTAAGCGGGTTACCTCACCTATCTGGGGTCCCCCACCTCCATGTAAACAGGCTCTAAGTCAACTGGCCAATATAAAACTAGGAGAACAATATAAAAACTACAAGGTATATACTAGTAAACAGACTTTTCATATTAACAGATAGAAAGGTACTAAAATTACAGTTTGAAGATCTAAGATTGTTGTCAATTTACAGATAAGCTTCTTCATCGAAGATGATTGGTTAAAATTTTTCCATAAATTAACCACGAACGTGATCGCAAACTCAAAGGGTAAATTAAATATGCACAGTGTATGCAGTTCAAAGTACAACGCAGAATTTAGAACAATAGTTGTTTAACTATAAAAACACCTATAAAATCACTTAAGCCCAATTAAAGTTATTCACTGCCAAGAATTCGGTTAAAAACTCAAAGAAACACGCTTAAAACTGTTACAAACAAACAGGGTAGTCATTTCCTGGTAAATATCGAAGGAAGACCAGATTAAGGTCAAAAATGTTAAATTGGACAAAACACTTAATGGGCTTTGTCATCTGCCAAAGCCTCTAATTAAACATATTTCATGAACAGAAGTGTTACCGCGGAGATGCACCAAATTGGTACATCTCCTTTGCACTGAATTCATGTCAGGAGAAACTTTCTATCGATCATCAATTAACTTAGGAACCAAACCTACTAGTAGTGAAGTAGCTTACTCAAACCAATCAACAAGAACGCTTACAACAACTCATCTACAAACATATATCGTAGCAAATGCCACAAGTGACTCTGACGTAACTCTTCAGTCAACTTTCTCCTTCAACAAGACCAAATAGAATGAATCAACAGAAATCATTTTCTTATTTCGGGAAAGGATGTTGTTTGATCAGTGCTGATGCGTAGGAGTTGAACACCAAGTAAAATAAGTCAAACTGTTTTTTTTTTTTAATGATATTTCCCTTCACCTATAGATAATCCCCGAATCAAATGAATTTTGTAATAAATCCCAAACACCAAATAAAAATCCCTTAATAATTTTAAGTCAAAAACATGCGCACTGGTTTCGGCGCGTTGATATATATACGGTTAAGGCGTAATTGTGCTAAAGGTTCTCGCAGCATTTGAATAGTCACAACAGTATCAAATTTTTATTTACCATTGAATTTAAACATGACAAGGAAATTCCACTCTTTGACATCCTGTAAAACACGGCCCTCTATCTTTTTTATTTTTTTTAAAATTAATTTCCAGATTACAATCCTTGACCAACTTCCTTACCAAACCACATTTCATTTCCCAAGTTCCACGTTGGGTTATCTTTGCAGGGCCTGGGTTCATATCGCCACATACCACGAAATGCACGGTGATCAAACTTTGTGGTTTTACAAAATTTTGCAAAATCAGGAATAGCTGAAACGTCTTTAGCGCTGTCATTAGCTCTTAGCCCCAGATAATACATGGTCTCGCCATATGCCCCATGCGCGCCTAAATGGGAGTCACAAACATTCGAGATGTGACTAAATCGAGGAACATGTGACGCTGGAGGATGATGATGTAACCTGGTATCGTGGAAGTAAGTTTTGTTTAGAATACTGCTCAGCCACAACATGACTTGTTGGTCCGCATGTGGATGACACAACATCGAGCTTTCGTTCTGCGCTAAGAACTCCTGAATGATATCTTTAGTGAATATCATAAATGCTTCATCCAGCCATGTGATTCCTATTTGACAGTGGAAAAATCCCCAGACTAGATTTTGTTTCGGTCTCAATGGAAGCTCAAAAAGAAGCCTTTTTGGGCACAAGAAGTAGTCATCATCAATTCTAAGTAGGTACTGAAAGTTAAATTTCGCCGCTGCCCACTTGATTTGGTTAAGGAAGCGGAATCCAAACTGCCCACGGCCTCCTTTAAGAGGCTGAAGCTTAATATCCTTGTATTTATCCGTTTCGTTTAAAATAAGGTTATGTTGAATTTGGTCTGTTATGAGTCCATCAGTCACAAAGACACATTCAACCTGAAGAAAGAAAAATTCAAGTTATACCCACGAGGCCAGAACTGCCCTTATGTCCCGGGTGTCGTGGGAGCCATCTTCAGGGCTTTTCTCGTGAAATCTGGGATGGGACCCTCCAAAAGTCCAAGAGAAAAGCCCTTGGGCCCCAACTTAGTCCCTAGGCGTTCTATCTGGCCCAGTTGTTCGCGGGAAAGAGCGAGCGAGTCTCTCTCGGTGACGTCATAGTACACGGTAGAGTCCAGGATTGACCAAGCCTAGAACGCCTACGGACTAGGCCGTACTTGCGCTCGTTTCTCGAAAGTCCCAGTAACTTTACGGGCCCGAAATCAAATATTCAGATGAGATACTGAATAGTTCTATCATATTATCTATAAACCTACTGAAACTTCGATCTTTAATGTAAACGACAACTTAGCTTTTTGGGCCCGTTAATAGATCTCTTTCGCTTGTGTGTTTTGTTTTCCTAACAGAGGTCCCAGGGGAACGTGAACCTTTGTCTTTTCATAAATTATGCGTAGATATGCACGAGAATAAGACGAAATTTGAAAGAAACAGTTCTCTAGAGTACATGTATTACTAGTAATAGCGACGAAATGACGTCACAGCTGACGGTAGAGTCCAGGGCCCACTTGTTCGAAAGCCGATTAATCCTAACTCAGGATTAAGGTTTATTCTGGGTTTCTTGTTCTTTTGTTCAAAGCATTTTCCCGGATAATTTTAGACTGAATTAGACTGAATTTGATTTTTAAGCTTTCATATTTGAATTTATACTTCGCACTAATCCTGGGTTATCTTAACCCTGCTTTGAACAAACCCGCCCAGGATTGACCGAACCGAGACTCCAAGGGACTATGCTCCTGGGGCCCGTTTCTCGAAAGTCCCGGTAACTTTACGGGCCCGAAATCAAATATTCAGATTATATACTGATAGTTTTATCATATTATCTGTAAACCTACTGAAACCTCGAGCTTTAATGTAAACGACAACCGCTTTTCGGGCCCGTTAATAGACCTCTTTGGCTTGTGTGTTTTGTTTTCCCAATAGAGGTCTCAGGGGAACGTGAACCTTTGTCTTTTCATAAATTGTACGTAGATATGCACGAGAATAAGACGAAATTTGAAAGAAACAGTTCTCTAGAGTACATGTATTACTAGTAATAGTTGACACTACAGCTGCCCCTGCTCTGTATGTTGTCGGTCAATAGTATTCTTACCGTTGTGTAGCTCTCTTTTCACACATTCCATACATTGGTGAGGTAAAAATCATGAAATGGTGAAACGACACGTTTTCTGGAAAAGCAGATTCACGACCTTAAATTCTGTTTTCTCTATTTATAACCAAGACTACCTTCGCCAATGATTCATTGAGGAGCTTTTTAGTAGAGCTTGCTTTAGCACAGCTAGACTAAAAATGCAGGCGTTTCTTTTTCTTTGTTTGTGCGTAACACCAGTTAGGACGCCATGCTCCCAAGCGTTCCTAGTAGAGACCGTGGAAACTGGGGATAAGAATGGTGACGACTTTCATTGTATGCAAATGAGTCTTGTGATGAGCATGTGGTTTATTTTTGGCGATGACTGAAATGACGCATGTAATTGATTACGTTTTCGCTGTTTGGCATAGCCTCCCACGCAGGCGTTTTTAGGGGAGCTCGTCTCTCATCCCTTCCCACAAACGCCTGCTCAACCGACGACAACATTCCTTTCCCATTCTTAGCAAGTCACATCGTACTTTCCAAATTCTGGAAAGTTGACCTTGACCGCAAGGTAATCTGATAATTGCTCGATCTGCATGAAATAATGGAAAAAATTTCTAACCTCCAATAAATGTTAGATTCAGAGCGGCAAAAATAAGATTTAATCAAATTTTAGAATACTCCATGCACTTCATAACGTTAACGAAGGAAAGAAAAGAAGGAAATCGGTAACTGTAGGGTCACGTTTTAGTCGTGTTTAGCCTGTCAACACTTTATTGCACAACCGTTTATTGGTCACTTACCACGCAAATAAAACAACGGGAAAGGAATGTTGTTTCCGGCTGACCAGGCGTTTGTGGGGAGGGATGAAAAACGAGCTCCCCTAAAAACGCCTGCGTGGGAGGCTATGTTTGGCAGTGATGTAATTTTCTCCGAATCGAGGCCCTTAATTTTCGTGTTATTATACGTGATAAAGTAAATACCCCGAGTATGATGAGAAAATATTATAGCGGGAAATCCTGTTTGTGGTGTATTGAGCCGTTACGTTTCTCGGAATATTGTCGCACTTACTGGGACTCCACGGTTAAATAGATTCACTTTGTTGTATGTATTTAATTGATAGATTTTCGCAGTTGTTAAGATGTGAAGTCGCGTTGCACTTTGTAAATACTTGAGATATCAATGATTTAACCTTGGACTACTGCTATAAGCAACTGTAACTACCCGTCTGCGTTACGTATTTGTTTAGACGGGTAGCTTTGTACTTGACTATCACGCACTCTACTTGCAGCACTTCATGTCCATAGAATAGAAATCCCACATCGAGCTTTTCCGGAACAAAAAAAAAAAACGAATTGTAGCCCTTATTTTACTGCCTTACAATATATCAATAATCTTGAGGGTAAAAGGTCATATTAAAGGAACATTAATCTAAAGAATCTTCAATTTTTTTAAAAAAATCTATCGAGCGGTTTAAAAATTATTCGCTAATTTGTTATAGAAGACCTAAATGTTTACAAAACCGCCAACAAGAGCGTTTCATACATAGTCATCACATCCTTCTTTCTAGCAATCGGCTGGAGTTATCTCCATGATCTTTCACACACGTTTTTAAAAAGGTTGAAACTACTATGAGGTAAAATTGCATGTCTAAAGCGCTTTGTTTTGTACAGATAACGGCCAAACATGTTGTCCATTTTTAACTGTGTTTCTAGCCATAAAGACTTCATCCCATAATAGTCTCGATAACGCTTTTACAGATTTGGCTTAAACTTGACGAACATCGAGGCCGCTATTGGAGGAAAAAGCTACCGTGAACGATTTTGGAAGAACAGTTCCCAGCGGCCGAGATATATTGCTGCAAGTAAAATAGGTAATAGCGTCATTTCGTTGCTGTGACAACTCCGATGTCGTTACAACCCTGATCACAACAAATTTTCATCTTTATCCACAGGTAACCCAGGCTCTGTGATAGTACCACAGTACGATTCTAGTAAAATTACAGTGTTTGTATTGGGTGAAAAAACGATCCTAAAATTTGAACAAATTATCACGAAACTTCATTGGAGCAATAAGGACAACAACAACTAACTGCAGGGTAAGTTTCATTGACTTATATTAAGTATTTCCTACAAATTTTAGGATCATATTTTTACCCCATACAAACACTGTAATTTTACTAGAACCATACTGTGGTACTATCACAGAGCCTGGGTTACCTGTGCTTTATCTAACACAACCGTGGTGGCAATTTTTCCAAATCTTTGGTTATGGCGACGTAGTTTATGCTCAAACTTGGGAGGTATTGACTCTGAAAAACTGTATCGAGCCACCTTAATTGTCCAATTTTGGCGAATTTCTCTGAAGGTTTATTCCAAAAGGACTGTATCCAAGTTCAGAGTCGGTGTCTTTTGTTCACGTCCTCGGTGTAAAAGGGGAAATAAGGAATTTGACGTCGAGGTCGTTGAACGACAATAAAGAAAGTGCAAAAAACAAAGGGTGTTGCTCGTGCAAAGATGTTGTTTTGCTAATCTAAACCCGTTGATTTTTGCTTTTTGCCGACGTCTTTGTCGTTGGTAGAAAATTTCGCTGTGAATAAGTTTGTGTAATGGTATACTCGTGAAATTAGGGAATAATTTCATTTGCGTTTCACAGGTATTTTGCCGACTCGTTTCTTGTTATAAATCATTGCCAGTCATGGGCTTGTCACGGGTAATTTTGTAGAGCTCAGTCGCATTAACCCTGAATGCAACAAAAAACCCCTGAAAAACAAAGCAATATCGCGCCACATATTTACCTATCCGATTAGTGTAACCAAGCGTCCAGAAATTGCCATGGCAGCCCTTCTGTACGTCTCAGTGTCAAGATGGCGACGAAGTTTTAAAATGCGGTGAATGAAGATGTCAGGGCACAAAAATTAAAGACGCTTTAGGAAACCTGAACACACAAGAGAACTCAAGAAGGATTCTAACAGGTATTTTGCCGAAAAAGACTGAAAAATTCTGAACTTTATAAGCCAAATTTAAGGTCTAAACATTTGAGAGAGTGGAGTCCTCGATCGATACGATCCAGGATAAACATGTCAAAAATCCAAGATTGCCAACGTAATTCGTCATCCATGATATTAAATGGTAATCAAGTGGTATACTCGTGAAATTAGGGAATAATTTCACTTGCGTTTTGTCCAAATCCTAATAATTTCCCGAGCCTTTAGGCTTTTGTGGGTAGTAGTATAAACAAATAATAGCATGATTTGTACGTGATATGTAGCATAAATACCACTTAGGATATTTCAAAATTGTCTCAAATTTCGTACCACAAATCATGCTGTTAACTATACAAATTAAGGAGTAATTCTTCATCAATGATATTACTGAAAGAAACGTCATCGTGAGATCGTGAGATAACTGGCGACAAAGAACCTATCTTGCCTGCCTACCTGAGTCTGATTGCCAGAACAATGTTTCCACCAGGTTTCTCTTATTGCCTGTCTTCTTTCAAATCTTGCTGGTGCAGTGGAAACGATGATCAATAGCAATACTACTCTCTTATTCTTCCCCAAGTCTTTAAAATCAATCAGTTGATGGAGAGTTTCGTCTATATCTAAGTCATCTGTGTCGTTGATTTCTGTTTGATTTTTTACTGGGGCCATAAGGACTATAGGGGCAGTATTTGCCAAGGTAGGCGCATTTTGTAGCTCTGATGGGCGTTCCTGATTTTGGAAAGTGGTAGTGAAGTAGACAAAAACCATCCATGCCGGAGCAGATGCGAAGATAAGGGCAACAATTATGACTCGTTTCTTGTTATAAATCATTGCCAGTCATTGGGTTGTTGAGACCAGAAACACGGGTAATATTGTAGAACTCAGTCGCATTAACACTGAATGGAACAAAAACCCCTGAAAAACAAAGCAATATAGCGCCACATATTTACCTATCTGATTAGTGTAACCAAGCGTCCAGACCGTCGGTCAAATGCCCCGATGCACAAACACACCTCTCCCATCCCTGCAGCATTTGCTGGTGAGCTAGTACCAACACAGGCAGCCCAGACGTGCCTAAGAGTGTCAACAACATGGACAAAATCGGATCGATCAGAGCTATTATTACCCTTGTTATTAAAGATGGCATGGGTTACGACTCAAGCGTTGTCTTTCTGCAGGGGCACCCAACGAGAATATAGTTCAAAACCACTTAAACATAGCATAGTTGAACGTATTGTAGTATTTAAACGGTATCCCCTAAAAATTTTTCATCTGTTCGGATTTCGTAGCTGAAAGTCTGGTGATCCGAAAATTTTAGGGATCAAAAATTACCTTTTCGAAATTTTCGGCCAGAAAAAAGGCTCCCGAATACTTCTAGGTGACCTTTTTAGGCTAAAAATCCGTTAAAAATGGGCAACTATACCATTTTTTAGATGTTCGAAAATCCTAGGAGAGGCAGACAAACAAGAAATTTTACAACAAATGTTCCGAATATTCTAGATATCAAATCGTCTTCCGAACAGATATTTTCTAAAAATTGACGTTGGGTGCCCCTGTTTCTTGTCTTTGCCAGTATTAAAATGTAGCGTAGTTCCATATTGTATTGATTGTATTGAAGGTCGCGGAACTCAAATAGAATCAGACGAATGTTGCTAGATAAAAGCGTTGGTTCAAAATGTTTATTATGTATCACCCCCGGTCCGTGAACACACAGCATACTACTTATCATAAATGAAAGATAGATGCCAAAAAAATTGTAATCATTGATCTCGAAGGCTTTGTGCTTGCAGATTCAACCAATTTTTTGGCCTGAGCTTGCTAAACAGCAGTTTCCGCAGTGAATCGCGTGTCACGCACTCGCTGGTGCGTTGTGCTCGTACTTTTATGGCCTCTCTATGATGCAATCCTGTACATTCAACTCACTATAGTTAAAAATTTAACCAAAACAATGGAAATAATAATTGACATTTTCTTTATATGAAAGAAGTGTAACATTATGATTTGAACTCTGATCAAATCAAAGCCAGCATTGCATTCTTGAGATGATCGTAAAGGACGGTGTGTGCGTCTGGGTAGGTTTAGATGACATTGGGAGAGGAAGACGGTCTTCCTATGCCTTGAAAATGTTTCTGAGCCTAACGATATTACGAAAAAAAGGTGTAAGTCGTACTATTCATCGGCAGTCTGGTAGGCATTTTGATATAGAAAACGTTAGATCTTCTAATCCGACTGCATTTGTTTGATGACTATTATGCATGATCTGTTGTCAATGATGTCAAGCGTGTGCAAACGGCCTACATACAATACATTGCGGAAATACTATTGTTAGGAGTAACTCGGCCTAAATTCCTAAAGATGTCATAGTAGAGGCAGAAAACACAAAGACCAAGCGATCAAATGGATTCGGTCGAATAGTGAAATTGTCAAACATTACCAAATCTCGCCGCTGCCGCTATTTAACTCGTTATCCAGTCAAAAAAAGCTATATATTGCAGGAAAATAAAATCACTTGCGCACAGAAAAAAATTAAGGGTAAATATGTCTGATATGTTTTAACTCGAGTAAGCGAGTGTTATTGTAATGCCATGGTGTTCTAAACTCCTAAGTGCGATTTTTAAAGCAACAGAAACATTAGGTGGGGCGCCCGTAATTCTGTGAATTAGACACCACGGTATTATGAAATCACTTGCACACAGAAGAAAATTAATAGTTAATATGTCTGATATGTTTTAGCCGACGAGTAAGCAAGTTTTATTGTAATGCCACGGTGATGAAAACTCCTAAGTGCAATTTTTAAAGGAACAGAAACACTAGATGGCGCACCCGTGATTCTGTAAGTTAGACACCACGGTATTATGAAATGACTTGCGCACGGAAGAAAATTAATGGTTAATATGTCTGATATGTTTTAGCTCGAATAAGCGAGTGTTATTGTAATGCCATGGTGATCTAAACTCCTAAGTGCAATTTTTAAAGTAACAGAAACACTAGGTGGCACGCCCCTGATTCTGTGAGTTAGACACCACGGTATTATGAAATCACTTGCGCACGGAAGAAAATTAATGGTTAATATGTCTGATATGTTTTAGCTCGAGTAACTTGCGAGTGTTATTGTAATGCCATTGTGATGTAAACTACCAAGTGCATTTTTAAAGCAACAGAAACACTAGGTGGCGCGCCCGTGATTCTGTGAGTTAGACACCACAGTATTATGAAATCACTTGCGCACGGAAGAAAATTAAAGGTTAATATGTCTGATATGTTTTAGCTCGAGTAAGCGAGTGTTATTGTAATGCCATGGTGATGTAAACTCTTAAGTGCAATTTTTAAACAGAAACACTAGGTGGCGCGCCCGTGATTGTGTGAGTCAGACACCACGGCATTATGAAATCGCTTGCGCACCAAGTGGAAATTTAAAGGTTAATATGTTTTAGCTTGAGTAAGCGAGTGTTATTGTGATGCCATGGTGTTCTAAACTCTTAAAGGGACTGGTCACGATAATGCGCATGCGCGCCGTTTGTCTCTTCAGAATAAATTTGTCGGGTCAACACTAACTTAGGCTCGATTACCAGCCGCTGTTCGGGAAAATGAGCCCGCACTCATCCCCCGAAAGAGCTCTCTTCGGGGAGGATCAAAGACCGGACCCGGGAGACGGCGGAAATCGAGCCTAACACTAACTTCGAAATCGCCATTACCGGTACAATCATTTAAAATCCTTCGTTTTATTCGTTTTATCCGTCGCTTTGGCTGGTCTAGTTATACTTCGGTAGTGGTGATTAACGTGTGGTTGTGTCGTTTGACTGGTTACGTTTTAAAAAGACGCAAAAAATAATGTTTTGATCATGGAGGTTCAGAAGAGCATCGTGGCCGTCCGGCAACAGGACGTTCTCAAGAGTCTCTGGAGATAGAGAAGCTTAGCCTATCGATCTGGTATGGTAGGGGTAGTGTGTGGCATACGAAAAGAATACACGACACTTGGAAAGTGGTTAAAGGCATGAGTTCGTCCAACTTTGATTTGATTTTTGACTCCGACCTGTAGTTATACCGCAACAGGCCGCGCGATCTTCACCGATCTGGTACACTTGAAATGTTCCTTGTATCTTTGCTTTACGATCGTATATGTGTAAGAATTGATGTTTTTAAAATAAATTATTGCCTGAATGTTCTGTTTATAATCTAGTTTCTTTATGTGTGCTACTCGATAACATTTGTTTTGCGGAACACTGACCCGATGCAACGAGAATGAATTTGTTAATTTGCTGATAAGCAATTGAAATTTATGCTCAGTTAAGGATAATCTTTATACTCATACGTTGTGTGTTTTTGTCACCGGTCAGGCGCTATTTTTAGGTATTTCTGGTTTTATATAAGGCGAACTGAGAAAAGAGTAATAAGATGTTTGTTTACAAATTTTGTTTGCCGATCGGTGACTGTTTTGTTAGCGTGGGTACGACCTTGTAAAAATACATTTTGGTAAATGTTTGTTTCAAAGCAGGACAGGGCTGTAAATCTAAATAAACTTGAATTATGTAAATAATTCAGTATCTGTAAATAAACTTGAATTATGGGGATAAATAAAATCAAACCAAATGCCCGGAAATACTCTCGAGTCGCGAACAAGTAATTATTTACTTGCGTGCATCTAACTCGCTTCCGATTGGTTGAAAAACAATCAGCTACTGTCAGAACTCACACATGCACATTATCGTCAACCAGTCCCTTTATAAGTGTGATTTTTCAAAGCAACAGAAACACTAGGTGGCGAAAAAAATTAATGGTTAATATATCTGATATGTTTTAGCTCGAGTAAGCGAGTGTTATTGTAATGCCATGGTGATCTAAACTCCCAAGTGCAATTTTTAAAGCAACAGAAACACTAGGTGGCACGCCCGTGATTCTGTGAGTCAGACACCACTGCATTATGAAATCACTTGCGCACCAAGTGGAAATTTAACGGTTAAAAGGTTTTAGCTTGAGTAAGGGAGTTTTATTGTAATGCTGTGGTATTCTAAACTCCTGAGTGCAAGTTTTATCATGCAACAGAAACACTCACGCCGGCTCCTCGCGGCTTCGCCGGTCGCTCGCGCGTTCGCTGCTCGCTCGAGCGTTCTCGCGCGGCTCGCTTCGCTCGCCCAAATAGGAGAGCTTGCTCGCGGGCTACACTAGGTGGTGGCACGCCCGTGATTCTGTGAGTTAGACACCAAGTGTTATGAAATCACTTGCGAAATAACTGAAAAATTAAGGGGTTTACAAGCTAATAAACGCTATATGTCTGCATGTTTTAGAGTCTTTTTTAATCGGTGATTTTCTTGTAGGAGACCCCCCGCCAGTTATATTTTTCGGCATTTATTAGTAAAAGATTTGTTTTTCGTTACAAATAAAACACGCGTAGCAAAATTCCCATTTCCGACACTTTTAGTACGTCCTGGAAACTGGAAAGCACAGTACGTATACTAACCGATTATTTGGAAGAGGGCTTTTCTTTTTCTTTTTTATATTTATTTAGAAAAATACTGTTGCCATCCGTTCACTGAGAATCTCTGCTAATGCCGTTACGTTTCGAAAACAATATTTTTGTGGTGTCGCGTTCTCCTCGAGGGCCGCCTTTTGCTTTTAATCACCTGGAGACTTTGGTTTGGTTTTAGTTTGATTATTTTTCGTGGTAGTTACAAAGAAACGTTTCGGCGTGGCTCACACAGTGTAAATAAATTTGAGTAAAGTGGCCGAGTGTTTTGAAGTTGCTCTGTTTGAAAAGACATCAGTAATTTTTACAATAAAATCGATGATGTATTCACGGAGGTTCTGGTTATCTTTAGAGGAGACAAAATCATATTTTGATTGTGTTAATTGCTCCTGTGGGAATAAAATGCCATATTAATTAGCGAGATGGACACACGATGGCGTGCGAGTAATACGTTCCAGGGATTTCTTATAGTTCCCGATCTACGGTCCTGCACTATGTTGTCAACACTTCCTTTGTTTTATATTGCACAATCGGTCAACTCAGATGACCGTCGTCCACGTTTCCAAGGCTTGCGGGTGGCGGCGTAGCGACACCTAGCCAGCGTAACATGGCGATTTTGTTGCTCCCGCCCCAATCTCCTCGCGGTTTCTCTACCCTCGCCCACATTTATTACTTGGCGCGCCCAACCAAAACCGCCAAGCTACGCAGGCTAAGCGGCACCCATTTTCTTTTGACTATTTATTACACATGTAGGAGGGGCAAATGGGGTGAACACGGGACCTATGAAACATTGGCTACCCTTCCTTAACAAAACCAACCCCATTTAAATCCTCACTTATGTCCAGGATCGATCTTGTTAGCAAAAATTTGCTAGCAAATTGTTTTCGCAATTTTAGCGAAAAAGATTTAAAGAAAACTGCTATCAGAAAAGTATAGAAGAAATAGCAAATGTCGCAAAATCCCAAAAATAACAAGACGTTTTCTTGATCGTATTGGTTACAGCCTTGTGGATCGACGTATCCAGAACTTGTTAATTATTGTATTTAAGACAATTAACAATCATCCACCTGAACATCTGAGAGACCTATTTAGGTTAAGAGACATCATCAAAAACCTGAGAGGGCTTAACAAGCTGCAAGTACCGAAACATAATACGACTCGTTATGGCAAGAACTCAGTAAAGTACTTGGCGGCTATTACTTGGAACAAGATTTCTGATACCTTAAGATCCCTAACTACATTGCCAGCTTTTTAAAAAGCAGTCCGACAGCTAAGGTTCTGGCTAATTCTCTATAATATCTATGTTCTGTTAAGTAATTGGGCTTTTTATTGTAAATGGCTGTCACGCAATTTTAGGCTTTATACTGCAAATAAGTTTTTGGATTTCCCTTTCTTTCTCTATTATTATTTTTTATTTGTTTTGTTTTCTTTGCTTTTTTGTCCTTCGGCTTATTAGCATATTTTTGCCAGAGGTCTAACCAACCTCGTCAAATCCGAGATTAAATAAAGCTTCATTCTTCATTCATTCAATATACAAGTTCTAGCAAAGTCTAAAACTCGATGTAAATCAAGTTTATTCAGGTTTCCCTACAGTGCAAGGTTTTTATATTTTTATACATTTCCAAGCATGTTACGTCGATTGTCATCCGAAAGCTTCAATAAGCTTTAAACTCTCGTGGTAATTTTACTATTTAGTATCAATGACCTTTGGCTAATTAACACAGATTGAATATTCGATTGAATAGCAAGACTTCGTTCATGACTGTATACAAGCATTAAATGTGTCATACATTACTGTTTCAATGTATGTTTGCCGGCGAATACAAACGTCTCGTCTCTCTCCTTACCATTCGCAGGCTAATTGTATCTAAGCAACTGAGAATAAAATCGTTGAATTAAATATGAGTCTGGCTTACTGTCCTTACTGTGTTGTTCAATCCAGTTTTCATAATCCGCATGTGATTCCTTTTATTGACACTATATGTAAAGGGCATGTACATTCATATGAAAGCAGTTTCGCCCGCACTTCCTAGCCAACGGCTACTGCTAGTTATACTAGCGTAAAAACGGCCACTATTTTCTCATAATGTCGTTCCCGATATGGCAATAATACGAAGCATTTCCTTGCAAGCTACGAGGATGACGATGAGGAGAGAAAAATTTCTGGTTAGCTTCTGTTGTGTATATTTGATCTTGTGTATCTTACTTGCTGGACTCCTTCACATCACAATACCTTAGATTCAACTGATATGCATGTCAATGCCAAATAGGTGCTAAGCCTTTTACGCGTTCTTTCTTACTGGGGATTTCAGGAATATCCGGAATACAAGTCTTTCGATTCGAGAAGTGACTTTGTGTTGTACACTCAAGTACCTGTCGGTCCTTTTGGAAATCTATGTCCAATCATCGATAAAAGGGAAATTCTTATTCTATATTCATGTTGGTAGAAAAATGATTACACAATGGAAGTTTCCAGAAAGAACTAATAACGGTTTGAAAAAATATCTGGATACGTGTGGACGGAGCCTGAAATACATAAGTTTTTTACTACTATGCAATTTTCAAGCGCCCTCTAGAAAAGTGCACATTCGGCGCACGAGTCCCTCACGTGACAGTATATTTCCAACAAGATTCATGATAAACTAGGCCTTTTATTTAAGCTGCAGTTTATTTTGGCGAAAAGCTCATGTCACCTTTTTGTTCATTGGTCTATAGCTGAATAGATAATGAAATTTCTCTTTTTTACAAAAACAATAGAAGTATTAAATTTTATTTTATTAGCTTCATCAGATAACGATAAGCATATGTTAATGAGTCAAAAAATTATGTGAAAAGGATTCACCTTTAACCTGGAAAATGACTATTCGTCCAATTAAAACGGGATAAGGAGTAAAGTAGCTTTTAAAGGCTGGAAAATTTTGGAATACACAGCGAACTACAACTGTATAGAAAAACATGCGAAAAATAAGCATAACTTCTATCAAACATTGTTCGAAATACTGGCTGAATACCTGTCCGTAAAACTTTTCTTAGATTTAAAAGAACCAGAGGGGCCATGAACAGCAAAGTTTGTCCTTCTCCTTTAGTTTGATTTCGGCGTCTTGATGGTACTTTCACATACTGTTTAACGTCACTGTGCCCAGAGTTCTTGCAGCATTGAAATAGTCACAACAGTATCAAATTAACCATTGAATTTAAACAGGACGAAGAAATTCCATTCTTTGACATCCTGTAAAGCATGGCCCTCTATCGTTTATATTTTTTGAAAAATTAATTTCCAGATTACAATCCTTGACCAACTTCCTTACCAAACCACATTTCATCTCCCAAGTTCCACGTTGGGTTATCTTTGCAGGGCTGGGGTTCATATTTCCACATAGGATTAAATACGCGGTAATCAAATTTTGTGGTTTTACAAAATCTTGCAAAATCAGGAATAGCTGAAACGTCTTTAGCGTTGTCATTGGCTCTTAGCCCCAGATAATACATGGTCTTGCCATATGCCCCATGCGCGCCTAAATGGGAGTCACAAACATTCGAGATGTTACTAAATCGAGGAACATGTGACGCTGGAGGCTGATGATGTAACCTGGTATCGTGGAAGTATGTTTTGTTTAGAATACTGCTCAGCCACAACATGACTTGTTGGTCCGCATGTGGATGACACAACATCGAGCTTTCGTTCTGTCCCAAGAACTTCTGAATAATATCTTCAGAGAATATCATAAATGCTTCATCCAGCCATGTGATTCCTGCTTGACAGTGGAAAAATCCCCAGACTAGATTTTGTTTCGGCCTCAATGGAAGCTCAAAAAGAAGCCTTTTTGGGCACAAGAAGTAGTCATCATCGATTCTAAGTAGGTACTGAAAGTTAAATTTCGCCGCTGCCCATTTGATTTGGTTAAGGAAGCGGAATCCAAACTGCCCACGGCCTCCTTTAAGAGGCTGAAGCTTAATATCCTTGTATTTATTCTTTTCCTTTAAAATAAGGTTACGTTGAATTCCGTCTGTTATAAATCCATCGGTCATGAAGACACATTCAACCTGAAGAAAGAAAACTTGAAGTTACACCCACGAGGTCAGAACTGCCCTAATGTCCCGGGTGTCGTGTGAGCCATCTTCAGGGCCTTTCTTATGTAAATCTGGGATGGGACCCTCCCAGAATCCAAGAGAAAAGCCCTGGGACCCCAGCCCAGTCCCTAGACGTCCTATTCCACCCGTTGTGCACGCTAAGTCTGGGAAAGAGCGGGTGAGACTCTGTCGATGACGTTACGGCTCACGGTAGAGTCCAGGGCCCACTTGTTCGAAAGCCGATTAATCCTAGTTCAGGATTAAGGTTTATAGAGCATCAATTCATCACATTACAGGTAAAAAGAATTAAACTGAATTTGATTTTTAAGCTTTCATATCTGAATTAATCATAACTATAACAAAATTCTTAAATCTGATTGGCTATCAACTGCCCTGATTTCAGCCTTAATAGGACAGTTAAATAGGACAATACTCGTCATGCCTAAGTAATTGGACAGTACGCGCCATCACGCGCGCGCTTAAATGGCTTTTTTTTTCACTGCTAGCAAAAAAAATCTCGGGATTCCTTGT